ACACATTTTTGCTTCAGCACGGAAGATGCTAAGAGACGTGCTAACTTGAAAATGTGCACAGAACCCCATTCCGACACACATTTTTGCTTCAGCACGGAAGATGCTAAGAGACGCGCTTACTTGAAAATGTGCACAGAACCCCATTCCGACACACATTTTTGCTTCAGCACGGAAGATGCTAAGAGACGTGCTAACTTGAAAATGTGCACAGAACCCCATTCCGACACACATTTTTGCTTCAGCACGGAAGATGCTAAGAGACATGCTAACTTCAAAATGTGCACAGAACCCCATTCCGACACACATTTTTGCTTCAGCACGGAAGATGCTAAGAGACGTGCTAACTTGAAAATGTGCACAAAACCCCATTCCAACACACATTTTTGCTTCAGCACGGAAGATGCTAAGAGACGTGCTAACTTGAAAATGTGCACAGAACCCCATTCCGACACACATTTTTGCTTCAGCACGGAAGATGCTAAGAGACGTGCTAACTTGAAAATGTGCACAAAACCCATTCGGACACACATTTTTGCTTCAGCACGGAAGATGCTAAGAGACGTGCTAACTTGAAAATGTGCACAGAACCCCATTCCGACACACATTTTTGCTTCAGCACGGAAGATGCTAAGAGACGTAGTAAAAACTGAAAGGGCACAGAACCCCATCCGACACACATTTTTGCTTAGCACGGAAGATGCTAAGAGACGTGCTAACTTGAAAATGTGCACAGAACCCCATTCCGACACACATTTTTGCTTCAGCACGGAAGATGCTAAGAGACGTGCTAACTTGAAAATGTGCACAGAACCCCATTCCGACACACATTTTTGCTTAAGCACGGAAGATGCCAAAAGACGTGCTAACTTGAAAATGTGCACAGAACCCCATTCCGACACACATTTCTGCTTCAGCACGGAAGATGCTAAGAGACGTGTTAACTTGAAAATGTGCACAGAACCCCATTTCGACACACATTTTTGCTTCAGCACGGAAGATGCTAAGAGACGTGCTAACTTGAAAATGTGCACAGAACCCCATTCCGACACACATTTTTGCTTCAGCACGGAAGATGCTAGAGACGTGCTAACTTGAAAATGTGCACAGAACCCCATTCCGACCGACACACTTTTTGCTTCATCAGGAAAGATCTAAGAGAACGTGCTAACTTGAAAAAGTGCACAGAAGAAGAGCGAAACCCCATTCCGACACACATTTTTTGCTTAACACGGAAGGATGCTAATAGACCGTGCTAACTTGACAAGTGCACAGAACCCCATTCCGAACAACGAGCACGGAAGATGCTAAGAGACGTGCTAACTTGAAAATGTGCACAGAACCCCATTCCGACACACATTTTTGCTTCAGCACGGAAGATGCTAAGAGACGTGCTAACGTGAAAATGTGCACAGAACCCCATTCCGACACACATTTGTGCTTCAGCACGGAAGATGCTAAGAGACGTGCTAACTTGAAAATGTGCACAGAACCCCATTCCGACACACATTTTTGCTTAAGCACGGAAGATGCTAAGAGACGTGCTAACTTGAAAATGTGCACAGAACCCCATTCCGACACACATTTTTGCTTCAGCACGGAAGATGCTAAGAGACGTGCTAACTTGAAAATGTGCACAGAACCCCATTCCGACACACATTTTTGCTTCAGCACGGAAGATGCTAAGAGACGTGCTAACTTGAAAATGTGCACAGAACCCCATTCCGACACACATTTTTGCTTCAGCACGGAAGATGCTAAGAGACGTGCTAACTTGAAAATGTGCACAGAACCCCATTCCGACACACATTTTTGCTTCAGCACGGAAGATGCTAAGAGACGTGCTAACTTGAAAATGTGCACAGAACCCCATTCCGACACACATTTTTGCTTCAGCACGGAAGATGCTAAGAGACGTGCTAACTTGAAAATGTGCACAGAACCCCATTCCGACACACATTTTTGCTTCAGCACGGAAGATGCTAAGAGACGTGCTAACTTGGAAAATGTGCACAGAACCCCATTCCGACACACATTTTTGCTTCAGCACGGAAGATGCTAAGAGACGTGCTAACTTGAAAATGTGCACAAAACCCCATTCCGACACACATTTTTGCTTAAGCACGGAAGATGCTAAGAGACGTGCTAACTTGAAAATGTGCACAGAACCCCATTCCGACACACATTTTTGCTTCAGCACGGAAGATGCTAAGAGAAGTGCTAACTTGAAAATGTGAACAAGCTAACTGCAAGACGAGCCCTCCCTCCCTCCAGATGCAAACTACTGTTTTCTCTCCAAGTGGCGATACGACTGTCTGCGGAGGGTCCCGCTCCGTTGTTCGATGATGTGACCTCCGCCCAGGATGAGGGGAAAGCCGCCCTCCCACTGGGGGAAACATCATCAAGTTCAGCCCTGGCTGTGGGCGGGTGGGATTTCGAGAACCCTGGTGCTCTTTGGGTGCTCGACCCAAAATGGCACAGGACATGTCCCCCCCTTCCACCCGATGATGCAAAAGCTTGTTCACGCTAACAAAACTTGTCTGCTCTAACAAGCTAACTGCAAGACGAGCCCTCCCTCCCTCCAGATGCAAACTACTGTTTTCTCTCCAAGTGGCGATACGACTGTCTGCGGAGGGTCCCGCTCCGTTGTTCGATGATGTGACCTCCGCCCAGGATGAGGGGAAAGCCGCCCTCCCACTGGGGGAAACATCATCAAGTTCAGCCGTATGAACAACGCCTGCGTCCGAAGACATATTTTGCGCGCTAATCCCCAGGATCGCTTGAGTCATCACTTTCATGCACATCAGAAAAGCATCTGTGGCATCGCTTGAACGAAACACCTTCGGGCTCTCCATTTGAGAACGTGCTTACATGTCCAATGCCTGCGAAGGGCCAGCCACAGAAGGTCTTCCACCTCCTGGGGCTTCCTTTCAGATCGATAAGGGCCTTGTGTAGGGCACCACTGATTTCATTAAGCACGAACGTAGCTTGCCTACCACTCTCCTGCTCAAGGGCAATGCCGATACCCGTGAGAGAAGCTTCATGCTCATCCAATCTGTCCTCGAGCTCGACCACAGTCGGCCTGATGTCACCTGAGAGTTGTCGGTCAAACTCCCGAGCATCTGTTTCGAGACTTCCGACCCTTTCCAGAATGTCTTTGAGCATGGTGTCGAAATCCGCGAGTCGCCTCATTATGCTGGCACTTCCAGTTTGTAGCGTTGGCGGAAGGGCGTCGATGCCTCCTTGGTGTAGCCTCCGAGCCAGGTCACTCAACGGGGCCTCGGCAACGTAAGAGAGTATCGCCAGAGATCCCCATCTACCCAGAAGCTGAAGAGTGATGGCATCGAGTCCCCAAGATGACAAAGTGCGAGCACCTGTGATTCTGAAAGCGTGGCCCGAATAAAGGGGTTTCCCCGTCGGGTCCATGATCGCCGCTCCTGTGCGAGAGATTGCCTCCAGGAGGGTAGCGACGACAGCGGCTTTAGAGCATCCGTTTCCAGCAGAGTCAACGAAAAGTGGTCCGGCAAGATTTTGTCTTTGAAGGGTCCACTTCCTGTAGTCCAACATTGTGTGGTAGACGCACGGGCGCCCCTGAAGGCAGACGCAGCCCCAAGTGCGCCTACAACCCTTCGCTGCCCAATCAGTTTTGCTTGAAGGCAATGTCAGAGTGATAGTCTTTGTATCCTCCGACAGCACCACGTCATCCCAGGTTGCCGAAGCCGCCTCGAGCTCTCGAAGCAGGAAAAAGACCGCTGTAACCACGATGGCTAAGGGGAACACAGGTCCTCCAGTCGAAATGGCATCCTCGATGCCTTCCAGTGCAGCGCAAAGCTTTTCGAAACAAAAAGCCTCGGAACGAACAGGCCCAGCCAGGCCGCGAATAACAGCCTTGCGACACAGCCTGAGCATGCGATCGAGTTGTGGACTAACCTCAAAACCCGCGGCGATGTGTGCATCCTTGGCACGGTTCTGGTAGTTTCTGTAGGACTTGTAACCTCCAGCCTTAAACAAAGCCGCCACCCTCCTCACTCCTTCGGGGGTGAGGGGGATGGTAGGTACTGCAGATCCGAAAGCTGCAGCGTGCAGGCGACAATACGTGCTCCAGACGGCCTCTCTGGGCCCCAGCGTTGTGGAGGCGTACATGTCCCTGTCCAAACAGTTTAGCGCCTCTCCGATCAGTTCTGGCCGAGCTGCATTTTCCGCCGCGTCAACTGAAGCCTTAAAATGATCACGAATCCGGGCTACATTGCGGCTACATCGGGTCGCGAAGATCGCCCAGTCCTAAGCGTACTGGGCTCATGGCTCTGCTTGCACGACCCTGTCGCGCTCTCGACTGCAGTTTCCCTCAAAACCCGCTCTAGCGAGCTTCCAGAAGCGGAAGCGGGAGCACCGCGTCCTCTAGCGGGGGTGAGCGCAAGCAAGCTGGCAGCATGAAGGTCTACATGAGGTAGAAACTGCACCTTACGCTTGGGCATGACGCTGCCCAGCCGGGCACGAATGACACGACTGAGTAACTCAAAACAGCGCATGCGGGCACACGCAGCAAACTTGTCACCAAAGACACAAACCCGAAAACGCCCGACACAAAAACCCCCAAAGCAACAGCCCTCGAAGCAAAAAGACCCTGCACACAGGTCGTACCAGCAGGCCTTGGGCAGCACCGGGTCCTGTCTGGAGGTCTGTGAGTGGCAAGGTTCCTGAGCCGAGGCGTGTTTGGCAGGCAGAGGTTTCGACTGTCTTAAGCTTCTCGTGCACATCAAACAGCATCTGGAGAGACAATCGACGGGAGGCACACTCTCAATGAGAGGAAGCATCGTGGATGCCACACGATGTCGCAGCCATTTGTCAAGCGGGCTGGAGCTTGTATGCGTTATCGGAGGTGAAACAAGGCTGCGAGAGGAACGGCCTAATCTCATCCTATCTGCGAAGCGGCCGTAATGACATGTAGTAGCCCCTGTCTCTGAGGACTTGGGGTTCCCGTTGAGCATACATGACAGCGGATGGAGGTTCATGTCCTTCTCCGGGCATGTGCATCCGCGACAGCACATCGGCTACCTTGTTTGAAAGGCCGGGAATGTGCTCCATGAGGACGGGCTTGTAAGCTGAAGAGCCAAAAAGGAGCGCAAGTTCCTTGGCCAGGAGTTGTGAGCCACTTCTGTTTGCAGACGTCCTCAACTTGTATATCATGCTCAACGCAGAAACGGAATCAGATTGAATGGTGAGGCAGGCGTCGTCGTTCTTCCAATATGTCTCCCATAAACGGAGAGCCACTAGAAGAGCCAAGGCCTCGACGACTTGTTGGGTGTCGGGGCTGCCGATAACAACTCCGAGAAGGGAGACATCTTCAGGAGTCAGCGGCATTGAGAAATACCTGTGGATAGTCGTGTCCACGGCCAGGTATCCGCCGATGCCCCAGGGTGAGGCGTCCGTGACGATGCGGATCTGCTTCCCGCGCCGGAAGTATCGGTCCACACGGTATTCTCGTTGAAGAACCCGGCCTTCGTTATGCAGAAGACTTTGAAGCCAGGCTCGAGTGTGCGCCCATTGCTTTGTCCACACCATGCCTGCGGGGGCCTTGGATGTCGACTCGTCGCCGTGCAAGGCCCCGTACAACTCTGAGAGGAAAGGACGTAGAATCTCGATCATGCCAGCGATGTGATTGAGCTTCCGCGTGTAGGAAGCCAATTCTTTCTTTGAGATGAGGTTGACGGTATCGTGGCGAGAGGTCGCCTCTCGGATCTCTGCCATCATCTCAGGCTTTGCTGTGACGATGACTGCAGCCTTGTTGGTACCCGCCTCCTTGATCTCAAAGTTTGCGCCGATCCAACCTACAGACGTGTTAATCGCCCCCTTCCTGTAGGCCAGCTTGACGCCGAGTGCTTCCCACATGAGAATGAGGGACGCGAAGTGTAGCCTCCGCTCAGGTCCTGGCCCGATGGCGCAGATGAACGGGTCATCTACGAAATCTGTAGCCGCAAATGCCGCGCGTGTAGTGCTCCTTGGGTGAGTCTTCCCACTAAGGCAGCAACTCGACCACAGACTACGGGCGCATTACGAGACCCCTGCGGCTGAGTCGTGTAGACGGCGAACTTCCCCTCGTAGGAGAAAGCGAAGTGCTTGCTTTCTGCTTGGGCAAGCGGAGTCTGGTAGAACCAATCGGAAAAGTCAAGCACCATCATTTCCATGTTGATGTCTTCCGAGTCGCCCATCTGGTCCAGGAGATACAAAAGATCGTCCACTACGTCAGAAATGCGAGGAAGTATAAGTTTGCCACCTCTGGCTGCCATGTCGTTCACAGAAGACCGGCGGCAGTCCATGATGAGCCGCTTGATGCGTCCATCTTTCTCTTTTGTGATCATGGCCAGCTTACTGAGGTGAAGTCTGCCTCCCGCCCAACTTTGAGCCTCCTCAAGAGAGTCGAAAACTTTAACGAAGTTGGACTCCAAAAGTCGCCTCACTTCCGGCTCCGCGTCGGGGTCGTTGTCAACTGAAACATAGTTGGTGTGCAGACTTTCGTCGGGAGGCTCGAAGTAATCCAACTCTGGGTCCTGCAGGTCGCTCGGTGGAAACACGCCGGGGTCGTACACCTTTTGTGCGATACCAGCAGGCGCGCCTTCCACTAGCCACTCATATATGGTTTTGGCGTCAACATCCCCCGCTGCAACTCCCCAGCGAAGGAGTAGATCGGCGTGCAAGTGAGTGGATGTCTTACGTCCTCGCTCAAAACCTTCTGGCCAGGGTAAGCGAGCCTCAAGAAGCTCACGGACTTTCGCGACGTCACTCTCAGGAGGGCCGCAAACTCGACCGTCTGAGCCCACAGCCTGGATGCAAGCGTCGAGCACCTGCGGGTTTTTCCTGAGGTAGCCGCTGACAACATCAAACACCACCTTGCCTGCAGCCTCCAGCGTTGGATTAATGTCGAGGGCTCTTCGTGGGTGCCTCATGCCTCCCAAGAACCTGCCAGACTCGCCATCACCGAGCCCTCTGAGTGGAACGCTGAAAACAAAGCTCGAGTCAACGGGCAGTGGCGATGATTTGCTCTGGTCCAGAAGGCCCTTCTTAATCAAGACATTGCCCCACCTGCCACACTTGAGGTAGCCGGGCTTCATGGTGCCCGACGTATCTGCAGGGCATGTGGCATCAGCGAACTTCTTGGCTAAGTACTCGTTCATGGCCTTCGGATATGCCGCGGATGATTTTGAAATGTAACCACCATCCGGCTCCGCAGCAGGGTGACCTTTGCCGTGTGCAGCAACGTGCTCCGCAAGCTGCTCCTCCGAGAGGTGCCACTCCTTTCCGTGAAGTGGGGGATGAGGGCTCCAGCACGTGTGGCCGTCTGAGGGACGAATCCACTTCCTCGAGGAATGGGTGCATTTTCCCACGAGGTCCGCAAAGTCAAGCCTAAAACTGAACAAAGTGGTAGCCTTCTCAATCTTGGCCCCATAGTGGCACTGCGCCATGTCGCGGAATGAAACTCCCATGCGTTTAAGGAGAGTGGCAAACTCGTCGAGGTTGAACATGCTGACGCTGCGACCGTCACGCTTCCAGATTGGCTGCTCCACGCAAACAGGTTTGCACTGATCGACAAATGCGTTCATGACATCAGCCACTCGCACTGCAAGGAGAGTTCCGATCCGAACTGCCTCTTTGTCCTTGGGTAACAGGCCAGGGCGCCCATACCTCGCAGGACCAGAGGCCGCCCTCAAAGGTGGAGGACCTCCGTCGACGAAGTTACGGGCGTTGGAGTACGAGTTGCAGGGAGGGCCCAGCAACGCTCCGTCGAACTCTCCGTTGTCGATGCGCCGCTTGAGTTTGAGCCATATCTCGCCGTCTGTGAGGTCAAAGTGCTCGCCGTTCACGATGTCCCATTCTTCACACTCAAGCCCTAGGCTTTTGAGGCAGCTAGCAAAGCCACCCACCCTTTCCTGCGGACCGCTGAAAAGGTGAAGAATGATCGGCTTTCGGAGCCCCTCACGAGCGAGAGCACAAGGCGCAAAGCTGCTAGGAGTGCGACTGCGATCCAACCTCAGCGGCAGTGAAGGAGGCTGCTGCTTCATCAAAGGACACTTCGCATCAGATGAATTCTCATGCAACTCTTGTTGGTGTCACTGACGTTTTCCTCCGCCACCCTTGCCGCCACCACGCCCTTTGCCGTGATTGACTCGAGGTTGACGCGGATTGGTCAAGGAACAATCTTTAGCACCATGGAATTCGGACAGACAGCGAGCACACTGATGGCGCCGGCGAGGATTTCGACTGCAGAACCCCCGGGCATCGCATTCCGTGCACTCTCCGGTCTGGTAGCCTCTGCAAAGCTCGGCGCCCTTGCGGTTGTGAGTGAGGTTGCCGTCCTCGCCAACCTTGTGGACGCGCTCGGTGCGGGCCCTCTTCGCCGCACCCTTCGGAGCCGGCAGCTCAACACTTCCAGGCTGCCTGGGGTTAGCGATAGACCCCGCCGATGAACTGACAGGCGCGTCTTGATCAAGGACCTGTCCCAAAGAAGCTGCCCTGACCGACAACTGCAACGCAGGCTCGATGACTTCACGCTGCCAAAATGCACTGTCATCCACCAGCATTTTCCAGACATGATCCCAGGGCTTGTTGGTGTCAAGATCGTGAGCGTTCCCAAGTGCCAGTGCTTTGGCGCGCTCCTCCTTGGCGATCCTGAGAAGTCTTTCTGTGTGCTCCAGCCTCGCCCTGACATCAGCTTGATAGATCAAGGCCCAACTGACCTTCCCATACCGCTCTGAAAGGCGGCGGATCTGCTTCTCGTAGTTGTCGAGACGAGCCGGAGAAATCTGAGCCAGCATGATGCATCCAGTGCGGAAGACGAGGTAGCATTCCCTCCAGGCTTCGTAGTCCGGCGGCCCGTACTGGTGATCTCTCCGGCAGGCGAGAGACGGATGCCCTTCATCTTGATCTTCTTCTGAATCCTGTGATGGTAAGGACCGAAGACAGCAAAATCAGTGTAAGGAGGACGATTATTGTCGAACATGTCCTTCAATCCACTGATTTGCTCAACAGACAGTTCTTCGTCTTCAGAAGGGAAAGCACCAGTCTTGGCTTTGTACTCCGCATAGGCCCTAGTAATGTCATTGGCGTCCAAAATGTCCACCTCGTTGTCGTCACCTTGGTTGATGACGGAGGCCATTTTGATCTTTCTCTTGGTGCCTACAGCCGCCGCGGTGGACACAGCTGCTACATTGGCTGCTTGTTGTGCCAGAGTTTGCTCTGTCCCGGCGATCAATCTGCATGTCCTTCCAAAGAGCCCACCTTGACTGCGCTGAACGAAGGTGGGTAAAGTGGCTGTTGCCGCATCTGCTCCAATGCGCCACTGCTCCACAGCTGCGTTGTAATCAGCAGCACTCATGAAACCAATGATGCGAGGTTGCATGTTGGCAGTGACGCCTAACAGGGTAAACAAAGATCCCAGAGCTGTAGCGCGGTCGGTGGCCGTGCCTTGGAGTCCACACCAGTTTGCCACATCCTGAACTGTGGCAAAAGCTTGAAGCTCAGCAGGTGTGGGATCGATAGCCATGACCGCTAGCGGAGCAGATGGCAGCAATTGCTGACTTGGGTTCGCATATCCACCGATGGCTTCAGAGAACCAGTGCAGTCGACATGCCCATTTCGAGAACCCTGGTGCTCTTTGGGTGCTCGACCCAAAATGGCACAGGACATGTCCCCCCCTTCCACCCGATGATGCAAAAGCTTGTTCACGCTAACAAAACTTGTCTGCTCTCACAGAACCCCATTCCGACACACATTTTTGCTTCAGCACGGAAGATGCTAAGAGACGTGCTAACTTGAAAATGTGCACAGAACCCCATTCCGACACACATTTTTGCTTCAGCACGGAAGATGCTAAGAGACGTGCTAACTTGAAAATGTGCACAGAACCCCATTCCGACACACATTTTTGCTTCAGCACGGAAGATGCTAAGAGACGTGCTAACTTGAAAATGTGCACAGAACCCCATTCCGACACACATTTTTGCTTCAGCACGGAAGATGCTAAGAGACGTGCTAACTTGAAAATGTGCACAGAACCCCATTCCGACACACATTTTTGCTTCAGCACGGAAGATGCTAAGAGACGTGCTAACTTGAAAATGTGCACAGAACCCCATTCCGACACACATTTTTGCTTCAGCACGGAAGATGCTAAGAGACGTGCTAACTTGAAAATGTGCACAGAACCCCATTCCGACACACATTTTTGCTTCAGCACGGAAGATGCTAAGAGACGTGCTAACTTGAAAATGTGCACAGAACCCCATTCCGACACACATTTTTGCTTCAGCACGGAAGATGCTAAGAGACGTGCTAACTTGAAAATGTGCACAGAACCCCATTCCGACACACATTTTTGCTTCAGCACGGAAGATGCTAAGAGACGTGCTAACTTGAAAATGTGCACAGAACCCCATTCCGACACACATTTTTGCTTCAGCACGGAAGATGCTAAGAGACGTGCTAACTTGAAAATGTGCACAGAACCCCATTCCGACACACATTTTTGCTTCAGCACGGAAGATGCTAAGAGACGTGCTAACTTGAAAATGTGCACAGAACCCCATTCCGACACACATTTTTGCTTCAGCACGGAAGATGCTAAGAGACGTGCGAACTTGAAAATGTGCACAGAACCCCATTCCGACACACATTTTTGCTTCAGCACGGAAGATGCTAAGAGACGTGCTAACTTGAAAATGTGCACAGAACCCCATTCCGACACACATTTTTGCTTAAGCACGGAAGATGCTAAGAGACGTGCTAACTTGAAAATGTGCACAGAACCCCATTCCGACACACATTTTTGCTTCAGCACGGAAGATGCTAAGAGACGTGCTAACTTGAAAATGTGCACAGAACCCCATTCCGACACACATTTTTGCTTCAGCACGGAAGATGCTAAGAGACGTGCTAACTTGAAAATGTGCACAGAACCCCATTCCGACACACAAACTTTGCTTCAACTTGAAAATGTGCACAGAACCCCATTCCGACACACATTTTTGCTTCAGCACGGAAGATGCTAAGAGACGTGCCAACTTGAAAATGTGCACAGAACGCCATTCCGACACACATTTTTGCTTCAGCACGGAAGATGCTAAGAGACGTGCTAACTTGAAAATGTGCACAGAACCCCCATCCGACACACATTTTTGCTTCAGCACGGAAGATGCTAAGAGACGTGCTAACTTGAAAATGTGCACAGAACCCCATT